GTTAACTCTGTTTTCTCCTTCACAGATGCTGCCAGACCTGCTGAGCTTTTCCAGCAACTTTGTTTTTGTTCCTGATTTACAGCATCCGCAGTTCTTTTGGTTTATGTCAAATAACTAACATTGCTGTACTATACTATATGTCAGGAATGGGCAATACATACCAGCCTTTCTTGTGTGTGATCTTGGCTCGGCTCTGATTCAATTACTTAAATTCCTAAACAGCAGTTATCATGATGCTACAATATTTATTTTGCTCTTAATGTTAACTAGCATTTATATCAAGAGATATAATTAACAGACTTTTGTGCAAGTGGTTGACTTGTCGTCTCAAGTGATGTATGTTTAATGGCTGCCCAATACTGTACGCAAAGGCACTTCCAGCAGATGTAGAGATCACATGACTATGACAAGCTTGCCAGTACACTAAGAACAGTTACATTTCCTTAAACATCCACCATATCATAGAACATGATCTTTTATTGTCTGATTTTATCACTTATTGATGCAAGTTACATTGTCGGCATGGTCAAAAGAAAATTATTATACATCAATAAAACTACGAATCCTAGTGAGCTCCATTTCTCTCAGTCTGTGCACATGCATTTTATATGTAATTTTTAAAATCATACAGGTTTCCTAATGGTATGCATGCACATTGTCATTGGCTGTTCATTTGATAGCTGATCATTCTGCGGGTGGTGTTCCTTGTGTGGGTATTATTTTTCACATTGTGAGTGTTGTTGCCATGCTAAGTGTTGTTGCCAATCCATTACTGGTGAACAGTGGACATCTGGGACTGATAATCATTCAATACCCTCTGAACCTGGTGTGATCATATCTTCCTGATTGGCCTGTATGTAGATATCCATGGTTACAATGAATATCTGGTTGTTCATGTTTGCTTTATAGATCAAGGTGACAACTGCTCCACACAGGTCCCAAGTTGCCTTATTGGCTGACTCTAGTTTGTTAAACATTTGCAGTCTGGCGTGCTCAAAAGCTCAGCTCTGGCAATAATTTAGCAGTTTGTCAATGTGAAATTTGGCTTTCTGATGTTTCACCCTGATTCCATTTCTCATCCCAATTACTATTTCTGGTTTCATAGCTTTTTCAGTATTGGAAGAGTAGTTCAAGTGACGTGTGATATTAGTTTTTGGAGTGGATTATCATCTATGCCTTTCGTATGTGTTTTTTCATTCAAGCATTGTCTTCACAGGTATGTGCTGTCTTTATTTGAATTCTTAGTGACCTCTTTGGCAATTTTCACTGTTGCTTCAGCCTTTCTATTTGACTGGAGATAGTGTAGAGATAATGTATAGTGTTAAGTTTCAATACCCTTTGTGATCTCACTGGTAGTCGTTGATGTTTTACTCTCAGTAATCAGAACAGTAGTTGTTAGTGACAAGATAATCGATTTCTGAGAGATTGAAGAGACCTATTCCAAGCTTCATACCTACAGCCTTGAATACGATGCATTTTGAGTGGCTCTTTAGATTGCTTAGCCTGGTATTCACGATAAACACTGCACTGGCTGATGTGGTCCTTCATTGCTCATTTTTGTCTTTCACTTTCCTCAGTAGATTCAGTTCCTTAATGGCTTGTGTGGATGTGTTTCAGCATTTGTTTACTCATTTCCACAAGGATAATTACATGTAATCTCCCTGTTCAACTCTTTATGCTCAATACTCACTTTCAGCAACAGGCGTGCCCTAGATGCTTTCAGTTCGTCCTTTCATCACTAGATTTGGCAACATTTGGAGAGTTGTATGTTGTTGTGTCGTTTGTTTGATTTGAGTAAGGTGTTGGTCTTTCAGATTTAATACGTCTGCTGAGTTGATGATCTTTAGAGCATGTCAAGCTGCTGTTTCTTGTTGAATTTGGAAGATTTCACATTTTGTCTTAGCATCATCAACTTCAACATAGGGAATTCTGCTCTCAACAGCATATTAATAATATATACGTGTTTCCCTTGCTTTGTCCAGACGATATCTCTGCAAACAAATTAAATGGCTTTGCAGATGCTTCGGAGCACATATAAGGGGTTTGAGGAAGATGCTTTGAAATGCCCAGTCTGTTCTCCCACTAACATGCTCAAGGCTTATGATTAACTGCCTCAGAGCTTCTGCTAATATCAATTTAGCTTTCTTATAAGTAAGTTTCTTTCCTCTGAGACAGACTTTCGTTGCAGGATCTCTTAGTCCTAAGATAATCTTACCACTAATTACATCATCTTTGAGTTGTCCTATTCAGTGGAGATCAATCAGTATGGTCATGAACTGATTAATAGGCTCCCTCTCCCCCATGCTCTATTGTTGAACAGAAATATTCATAAGTGACATTAATATGGTGTTTAAAGTATGTCTTCAAAATTTGCAAAAACTTTGCAAGTCTAGCATTTTTGGTGGGACCTAGGATGCAATACAGTTTGTAGCCCTTTTTGTTCCCAGCGGTGATAGCAGGGTTGCAACTTTTATTTGCCCAGGTTCATAAATTAATTCTATAGCTAATTCATTGTTATGCCACTGGGAATGAAAAAGATTCCTATTCTGTTTCTTATGTCCATTCATTTCCACAGCAACAGTGAGAGGAAAACGCAAAATGGTTTTGAATTGCCCAATAATTTAATGTTACAGAGTGTTTTATTTTGGTTCACTACTTCTGTTGTTTCTTTCAGTAGCTGGGTCTCTTGCAGTTCTGAAAATCCACATGTTTTAAGCTGTATCATGCCTGACAGCATATTTCAAGTGAGGTCTGGATTGGTTGCCACAGTCAGCACTGGCAGCAAAGGTAGAAGTCACTTGATCATGGCAGGTCAGCCAATAAACCAAGTACAATTGCACTTTTCCAAACAACAGTTAGAAATGTATTCTCAGTGATCCTTCCTTTCTTCCAGCAAATTAATTCATGGCATTGTAAAATAATTTAGATCTTGTAATATTTATAATGTACATTCTATTTCAGACATTTAACCGAATAGCTATTACAGGTTTAGTAATATATAATTTTACATTTTTTTGTAATGTTCAGAATTTAAGAACTTGTTCTGTTTCTCCTGAAATTGTGAACCTGAGATTAATTCACATTTTCTATTGACTGGTTTTCCCTTTTAAACAATTTATATTGCAGCAAGATCAGGTCTTATTGCTCAATATTGCCATTTGTTTTCAACCAAAGAGAAACTAGTACTAGAGCACTACTTGTTTTGACACTATGTTACTGGTGTACTTAAAGATGCTAATCACATAAGACAAAGACTTAGCACCAGGGTAACGTCAGTATGACAAACACAACACCGTGTAAACAGCAACATTGTACCAATAAACCCATACAAAAATACATCAACGTAAGATACATCCATGTGCCAAAGCAAATATTATATCGTGGGGAGATTTGCTGTTAAATACTTGGCTTAAGACTCAGACATACCTAATTGTTAAAATAACCATACACAAGAGCTTTGCTTATTCAAAAGAGTGCTATTTATTTGATAATATTCTGCAGTTAATTATGCACAGTATTGAGATTGAGGAAAATATTTGCTGGATAACATTTTTTATAAAAGTGACTGATAACATGGTTGTCAGATGGGAATAAACAAGATGGCAGTCTGGACTAATTATGTATGTAATGATACACTGGTACTTTTAGAAACAAATTGTCAAGTTTCTTCTCAAATTCAAATAACCTGTTAATTTTCTGATTGCTTGTTGTTTTTATACCATCCACTGCCCCCTTTCCCACAATTTATTACTGATATGCTTAATAACACATAGCTGAAGACTCCTGGAAAACAAACCTTCTCCATTGTACTTCACCATTTGCAGGAAAAGTGTCTGCAGGAGAAAATTCTGCAAAACCAAGAAAGTGTCAAATATTAAAATGTACACTTTTGCGAGATTTTACAGCTCCTCCAAAATAAAAATTCTATTCCAGAAGTAACTTCATAGGAACAACTTTCTAAGTTAAATCCTTGTTAAATGGTGCTGCACATTCCAGAATAAAGCAGGACCTGCAAACAAACTGGTCAGTGGCTGTGCTCTGTGGGAAGTTCACACCGAAGGGAAAGTAGAAGAGCCGAATTTTTTGATGAATATCTAGATGGGTTGTAGATTACTTTTAAGAATGTTTAAGAACCTAAAATAGAATGTGCATTTTAAAAATAAAAGAATTTGGATTAGATCAGTGTAACTAAAACCAAATGAAAGCCCATTGAGAGGAATTTTTACTTAGGGGAACAAAAACAAAGTTGCTGGAAAAGCTCAGCAGGTCTGGCACCATCTGTGAAGGAAAAAAGAGTTAACGTTACAGGTCCAGTTGAAGGGTCACCGGACCCGAAACGTTAACTGTCTTTTCCTTCACAGATGCTGCCGGACCTGCTGAGCTTTTCCAGCAACTTTAGTTTTGTTCTTTAGGGTTTTTTTCACTCAGGGTGCATGGATTTGAGAGGTTTTAAAGTATGGAAACTGAGTGCATCAGGAGTCCAATTCCACCTCATCACCTTCCACATTTAATTGCAGTGTGCTAAGCTGCATGTCAGCAAATCATTTTGTTGGTGAGTAAAACTCCTCCCATTGTCTGAATTGTTGTAAAAATTTAGAACAGCAAATTCATCCTTTCAATTCTGAGTAATACTTGCGTCAATCATCTTGTTGCCATGGTCTGAGTTTAGAGATGGCCAATAAACAATTCCTTTTATATATAACTACAGTGACGCAGATTGAAAGATCATAACTAAAGAATATCCTGCCAGCTCTACAACATGGTCTCCAGTAAACCTCAACAGGTATGGGTTAATAAGAAGTCATAATGACAAACACATTCAATGCTGTTTGCCTTAGTTTCAGTTGCTAAGTGTTACACTTCAACTCCTGATTGATAGTTTTATTTGTGATCATAGAAACACTTTAACTGCCCACCACAAACAACAAAACATTTTGATGTTTAGCTGTGAAGGAGTGTGGAGCTTTCAGACCTTCTCCAGAGTTAGCTGAAAGCATGTGTGCTGGAATTCAGCAGAACTGAACACAAACGTTTCCAAGGAGCAAATCCAAGGATGGGCTGCTATAGCAGTAAGGGCACTCGTGTGCTGGATGGATCCCACAAAGATCAAGATTATCCCCAACAAGAAACAGAAGATCAGGATGCTAAAACTGAAAACCCTGCACAGGAAAATCTACCAAATGAGAAGAACAATGACCCTGAATTTGTAACAAATTAAATGAGACTGTTTCTTTGATGAAGAACATGAGGTTTCATTTCCTTCTATATCTAATTTAATCTTATTTATTTGTTTTTGTCAGTGCCAAATAGGAATAACCTGTGGCATTTTTCTTCCTGGTGTTGATTAACTCAATTACTTCATCCTCAGGCATCATGAACAAAATGCAGCGAAGAATTCAAATCTTAAACATTTTTTCTGGAAATTAAAACCATCAATTATCTTCATGGTCAAGATGTCCAGGTTCAGTAATCCAAAGGATTCATCATGCTTAAAATACTTCAGACAGTTTGATCAAATCTAGATCAGCAAAACCATGTTTTGAATTAAATCAGGTTGATCCATTTAAAGCATTGAAATTGAAATCCTTTTACAAGGTTGTTTATTTGACCAGATTTCATTTTGAACATTATCAGAGGTATAAACTCTGCAATTCAACATACTAAATTGGCTTGTAATTATTTTGTACCACACTTTTAGTTATCACTAAATATAATGATGTATTCATCAGCTGTGTAAAATGGAGCACAAGATTGGGTTTTATAAGACATCGATACATGTTCACATGATTTTGCTGGATGTATTTCACTGCACTGTGATGGCAGGTAAAATGTAGCAAATCAAATATTAGATCAACAACTGTGACATTACAGTTTTGTAGTGAACAGCATTCAAGTGTTAGAACAGTGCTGCTTAAGTATTAGAAACAATCTTTAGTTGCATAGGTAGTTGAATCAAATATATGATAGTGTAGACCATCCAAGTCAGTGATTAAAATAATATTTTATTGGCAACTGCATAAAATAAATATGGAAAATTTACAATTAACATGCTGGATTTCTGCATGAATTATCCAGGTCATCTACTGTAACTTCATTATATTTACATAATGGTTTCCATGGATCTTCTGCAGATGATTGAGGGAAGCTGAATGATGCTCTCGT